CCTAATAAAATTGTTACATAATGATTTTACATTACTTATTAGTCCACATACTTAACAAGCTTCTATTCTATGTGTTAAGACTGTGGCAAGCACTAAGAATATCACAACAAACAGAAGTTTTAAAAGATTACATTCTGGGACTAGCAGATGGCATAATGGCTACATCACAGGACTCCCATGTAGTCAACCACTGTTCAAATCCCAGACCTGGAGGCTTAAAACTCACACTGGGCACATGTGCATGCATGCCCAAAATCTCAAGAGGAAACTGGAGAAGGGACTGCGGTATGGCCATCCCCTCTGGGGAGGTAATTTCTCATTTTCTGTCTCTCTGGCAAGCCCACACGCCCTATAGCAAAAAAATCTCTTTATGAAAAAAAACAAAAGATTACATTCTATTGAGTTGTCAGAAAAGTCATGACACATTTTTGTATAGAAAATATGTCAAGATTTTTCTGATAACCCAATAGTTGAGGATTCAAAAGAAGTGCTAGAAGAGGGTTGTGTGTATACACACAAAATCCAGAGAGGTGAATGGAGATGGGATTGCAGCATGGCCATACCCCCCGAGATGGATTTCTCTCTCTCTTAGAAAAGAAAAGAAATGATGGTGAGGACATGTAATTAGAACCTCTACTAGATGGGACTATCTTAAAAAGTCCTCTGAGGGCTCTGGAGCTGGGCCAGGACCTGAGAGCCGCCAGATACCATTACCATATGAAATTAAGCATGGCAGAAGAAGAGGATCATATGTCTGATTCCTTCATTAATGTCCAAGATGATATCAGACCAGAATTGCCAAATCAGAGAAGCCCGTCGAAAAGAAGAAAAACAACAGGAAGCTAATTTGAAAAATAGAAGAGTTTAAAAGAGGAAGAACAAGAGAGACATGACATTGGATTGAAGAATGCACTTGGCTGGGACCAGCAGTTAGTGTAATGGCTATGCCGCTGGGCTCCCCTGTAGTCGACCGTGGTTCGAGTCCTGGACCTAGTGGCTTAAACTCACACTGGGCGCATGTGCGTGCATGCCCAGGATCCCAAGAGGAGAAGGGAGGAGAAGGGATTGCGGAGTGGCCATCCCCCCGGGGGGTGATTTCTCGCTTTCTGTCTCTCTGTCTCTCTCTGTCTTTTCAGCCAGCGCACACGCCCTGTAGCAAAAAACGCTCAAAAAAAGAAAAAAAAGAAAAAGAACGCACTTGGCTGTGAAAACAAAGGGTTTGCTTTACTCCAAAAGGTGGGATATAAAAGTGGTCAACCTCTCGGCAAGAGCAGAAATGGTATTGTTGAATCAATTCCTCTCAATGTCAAAACAAGGAAAAGTGGTATAGGTTATGAGACATTAAAACAGAAAGCAGAGAAAAAATGAGAAAGCTACAGAAGAAAGATTCACATGAAAAATCAAGCTGAAGAGAAAGCTGCAGAGCAGTTTTGAATGTGACTTAAAAATAAGCAAGATGAAATGAAGCTAGAAGGAGATCTTAAAAGAAGCCAGCGAGCCTATCAACAGTTAGATGCCCAGAAGAATATGCAAGGTTCCCAAGGAGGCATGGTACTGGTTGAAACTTGAAGAGGAGACTGAAGAAGAGGAAAAGGAAGAAAAAGAACAGGACGAGGATGAATATAACAGTGAAGATTTAAGTGTACTGGAAAAATTACAAATATTGACTAGTTATTTAAGAGAAGAACATCTGTATTGTATTTGGTGTGGAACAGTGTATGAAGATAAAGAAGACCTATCTTTGAATTGCCCGGGACCAACTTCTACAGATCATGACTAAGAGATTCCAAAAAAAAGGGTAAATGTGAACCATGTTACTATCTCCTAGAAACAGACAATTCAGTAGTTGGAATTCCTAAATTTTTTATTCCAGTAAAGAAAGAGGGCCTTTATACAATGTTTTATTTTTTTAAAAGAATGATTTTATTTAACTTTTTTTATTAGAAGAAAAGAATGATTTTATTTAACTTTATTTATTTATTTACTTATTTTCATTTGACCAGAGAGGGAAGGACCAAGAGAGCAAGAGAGAGAAAATGAGAAAGCAAGCCACCAGGTCTGAGACTCAAACCAAGGTCGGCCATGTATAAGTCCAGCACCCTTAACCATTACGCCACCTGAGCGCCCCACCCAGCATGAGTTTTAAGTCTCTGGGTCTAGGACTCTAACTGTGGTTGACCATGTGGGAATTCAGCAATCTAACCATTATGCCATCTGCTGGTCCCAAAATCTGCAATTTTTAAAAAATTTGCCAGAGGGTCATGCACTTGTCAGAGAGAGAAACAGGGTGGAGAGGGCAAGAAAGCACCCTCCAATGAGGTGTGGTCATGGTGCAAGCCCTTCTCCACTTCTCCACCTTGTGAGAATTTGGGGTATGCTGTGCATTTGAGCCCAGCACGCCTGTTTCTCAAGCCGCCAAGGACGAGATGTGAACGGCACAGTTGGCCATGCGGGATCTGGCTTCCTTAATCACTAGGCCACACAGCCAACCCCAAAATTGTCTGAACCCTGACATGACACACAAGTGAAAAATCCATACCTGACCTCATGTGATAGGCGCAATTAAAACAAAGCAATGCAAAAACTTTGTACAAAATTATCTTCAGGCTATATATTAGGTGTATATGAAATATATGATAAATAAATTTAAGAATTATTTAATTTTATTTCTTATTCTTAGTTTTCAATTTGACTAGAGAATGTGAGAGGGAAAGCAAGAAAGAGAGTTGTCAGGTCTGGGACTTGAACTGCGGCCAGCTATGTGGGAGTCCAACGTCTCAACCACTACGACATCTGTCAGCCCCATATGGTAAATGAATTTCATGTTTACACTTGGGTCTCAAGATATCTCATTATGGGGACCAGCAGTGAGCATAACGGCTATGTCACTGGACTCCCACGTAGTCGATTGTGGTTCGAGTACCGGACCCAGTGGCTTAAACTCATACCAGGAACACGTATGTGCATACCCAAGAGCCTGAGAGGAGAATGGAGGAAAAGAGATTATGGCGTCACCATCCCCCCGGGGGGTGATTTCTCGCTTTCTGTCTCTCTGTCTCTCTCTGTCTTCCTAGTGAGCGTATGTGCCCAATAGCAAAAACCTATCCCCTCCCCCCAAAAAAGATATCTCATTATGTATGTGCATATATTCCACAATACAAAAAAAAATCCAAAATCTGAAATATTCTGGTTTTAAGCACTTTGGATAAGGGACAGTCAACCTGTATTCATCTATATTTATAAATAAATTGGAGAGGGGGATTAGGAGACAGATACGGGCATTCCAGACAGAACAATAAAAGCTTGGTAGTATTCAGACTAGAAAGACTTTACAAGGCCAGCTAGTTGGCATAGTGGTTAAGGCAGCTTGATCCTACATGGCCAATTTTGTAGTCCGGGTTGGTTCCAGTGGCTTTTTTTTTTTTAAAGGATTATTTTAGGGACCAGCAGTTGGCATAATGGCCATGTCACTGGACTCCCATGTAGTTGACCACAGTTCGAGTCCCGGACCTGATGGCTTAAAACTCACGCAGGGCACATGTGCATGTGTGCCCAAGATCCCGCAAAGAGAATGGAGGAGAAGGGTTTGTGGTGTGGCCATACCCCACGGGAGGGGGTGATTTCTCATTTTCTGTCTCTCTGTCTTTCTGGTGAGTGCACACGCACTATAGCAAAAACTTCTCAAAAAAAAGAATTATTTTAATTAAAATTTTTTTTTTTAAATTTGACCAGAGAGGAACAGAGTGAGAGAGAGAAAGGTGAAGTGAGAAAGCAAGCCACCAGGTCCAGGACTCAAACCGTGGTCAACCATGTGAGAGTCCAGCACCCTTAACCACCATGCCACCTGCTAGCTCTAATTAATTTTTTTATTATTTACTTATTTATTTTGATTTGATCAGAGAGGGACAGCGAGATAGAGACAGAAAGAGAAAGAAAGGGAACCATATTTACTTATTTTGGCTATGTCGCTGGACTCCCACGTAGTTGACGGCGGTTCAAGTCCCAAACCCGGTGGCTTAAAATTCACGCCGGGGATGTGTGCATACTTGCCCAAGATCCTGAGAGGAGAATGGAGAAGAAGGGATTGTGGCGTGACCATCCCCCCTGGGGGGTGATTTCTCACTTTCTGTCTCTCTGTCTCTCTCTGTCTGTCTGGTGAGCACACGGGCCCTATAGCGAAAATCTCTCCAAAAAAATAAAAAAGCAAAAAAAGAAAGAGAAAGAGAGAAAGCAAGCCCTCAGGTCCCAGACTTGAACTGTGGTTTGAAGTCCAGTGTGCCCAACCACCATGCCACCTGCTGGCCCTCCAGTGGCTTCTGAGAAACACTCTGGGCATGTGTACATGCCAAAAATTCTAACAGGAAAACCAAGAAGATTGCTGCATGATCATCCCCTGGGGGGATGCTTTTTCACTTTGTAAGCCAGGAGAATTGTATCAAGAAATGTTGGAGACAACCCCGTGTACAGGAGTGCTTAAGATCCCAGGAGAATGGAGAAGGGATTACGGTGCGGCCATCCCCCGTGGAGAATGATTTCACACTTTCTGTCTCTGTCTCTCCAACAAGCACACACGCCCTATAGCAAAAATGTCTCCAAAAGAAAAGAATAAATAAAGCTAAGTAAATAATTTTTAAAAAACCACACTTAAACCATGCTATGAAAACTGGATCACAAGGACAGTTTTCTTTGGTCACTAGTCTTCCAATACTACTCTCAAATACATTACAACGGCCAGATCTGTTAATACTTCAGACTTGCAACAAACTCATAAAAATAATGAACTCATAAACTCCTTCACTCTTTATCATAAACAGTAGTTATCTTATAATTTAAGCTTTAATTTGATCACAAAAACAAATACTTTTTTTCTCAAAATCGTTGTAATGGCAAGTTAACATTTAAGAGTAATATAAGCAGATAGAAAGGAGTAATGTCCCACTTGCAACTGCTTTTCGAGTTTATTTCCTAAATGAGTAAAAGAGATAATTTTATTTGAATTTCATCAAATATTTACTTAAAACATTTGAAGTTGGCCTAATTGCCGCTAATATAAAAAAATTCTTCGTGGAATCTAAATGTCCTTGGGCTCAACCAGATTTGTGCTCCCTCGCCCTACCAATGTATAAACCTCAATTCACTTTAAACTCTAACTTTAATTTTCAAAAATAATTTATTAAATTATTAGCAAAAGAAGACTAAGTAGTAAAAGTATGGCATCCTTGACGTTTTCATCTCCCCCAACCCCAATCACCAAAATAGAACCAGTCAGCAAATTCAAAGCAGGCTGTGGTTCAAGGTTACATGATCTCTAAGTTACAGTGGAGTGAACAATCCGAGTCCCCTAGGTCGCTAGGAACTTTACCAGAAACTAGAAAAGCGCATTTGGCCAACTGGGACGGATAAGGAACTAAAGGCGGCTCTTCGCCAGGCCGCCAACTCCTGTACTCCCAGCAACCGGCGAACCTTCGGCGGAAAGCTAAAACTTTCCGACAACAGGCCTTAGGGGAGGAGACCGGAAGAACCCAAAGACGCCGGGGCCAAGTTGCTTTATCAGCTGCTTCCAAAGTGGCTTCGCGATGATTCACCGCATCTCGCGAGGGCAGCGAGCCACGAACGCAGTTGGGACGACCCCGGCAGGCCCCGAGTGATGCGCGCCGCACCGAAGTCCCGCAAATGTCACACACTGATCTTTCTCCTTCGGGGAGTCAGAAACGCACCCGACTCGGCTCTGCCTCACCCCAAATCCTCCCGGTCCCCCAACTTGGCAGAGCAGAGGTGGAAAACAACTCTTATCAAAGCGCCCCGGTTGTTTACTACCTGACGTTCCGCGCAGGCTCCCGCGCCGGAAGTAAGGCTCCAGCTGCTGTCGCCGACGTCGGCCGGCATCCCGAAACCACCCTTCTCAGAGCTCTCTGACCCGTCCGAGCTGCCATGACCGTCTCTCCGCAGCCGGTCGCCACCTCCAGGACCAGGCCCGCTGTACCGCCCTCCTCAGGCTGGGCGAGGTTGCCTCCCTCCCAGCAAATCGGCGGGCCGCTTCAGCAGCCAGGCACGCCCTCTCTGCCTTCCTGATTGCGTAAAGCTGACATACGCTCCCACTGGCGTATGGCCGACTGTAAATGCCCGCGTCATCCAGCCGGCCAATCAAAGGAGGCGCGGGGCGCCGGGACACGCCCCTCTCCCTTGAACGCCTCTCGCGCAGGCTCGCGCAGGCTCGCTTTACGTAATGCTCGTGGTGGTGGCTGGTGCCACCTCAAGAGCTGGACCTCTTCCCTGGCTGTCGGCTGCACTTCCCTTGGGGGCTGCTTCCGGTCTCAAGGCCAGGCACGTGAGTCCAGTCCAGGGGTGAGAGAAAACCCTAGGGTCTAGATATTAATTATGTAACTGTGCAAACCTCCGAGTGCGGAGGTGGGCTTGCTCTGTCTCCTGGCAGTGAGGCCTGGTCATCAGAGTCCTGCTTGTTAATGGTTGTCTAATACAACGCCTGCTGTGCTTTCACTGGGTTGATGTGAGGACAGCATAAGGTCATGTCATTAGGGAAGAGACTGAATTACCTAACAGCGGTCTGTCTGATTCTGCCTGCCAGGCCAACATTTTAATTGATATGTGTATGGTTTGGGTACTCCTTACTTCATACAAACATGGTAATTACAGGAATCAGTCAAGTCCTGACTTCTTTTTGCCTCCTTTTGTTAGGAGGTCCTTATTAAACCTTTGTACATCACATCTATTTTCCCTAAATATTGTAAAGATAATACTGTTGGGGCCCCCAGGTGGCATAGTGGCTAAGGGGCTGGATCTCACATGGCTGACTCTGTGTTTTGAGTCTGGGATCCTGACCCTTGTCCTGGAGGTGTGTGCCTAAAATCCAGAGGGGAACATAGAAGAGAGAGGACTGTAGTGGGGCCATGCTCACTGGGTGTGTGGGGGGAGGGTGATTTCTCACTTTCCTCCTTCTCTACAGTGAACTCACTGCCCTATCGCAAAAAAAAATTTTTTTAAGAATTATTTAATTTTATTCTTTTTTTTTTTTTTTTTTTTTTTGAAGTTGACCAGAGAGAGACAGAAGGAGAAGGAAAGTGAGAAAGCAAGCTGCCAGGTCCAGGACTCAAACTGTAGTCAGCCATGTGGGAATCCAGCCCCCTTAACCACCACGCCACCCTCTGGCCCCCTTATGGCAAATCTTTAAGAAAAAAATACTGTTAGGGACCAGCAGTTGGCGTAATGGCTATATCGCTGGACTCCCATGTAGTCAACCATGGTTCTAGTACCAGACCCAGTGGGTTAGACTCACACTGGGTGCATGTGCATGCATGCCCAAGATCCTGAGAGGAGAATGGAAGAGAAGGGATTGCGGCGTGGCCATCCCCCCTGGGGGGTGATTTCTCACTTTCTGTCTCTGTCTTTCTGGCGAGTGCACGTGCCCTATAGCAAAAACCTCTAAAAAAAATACTACTACTATTTAATATAGGTTTGGAGAGTAAATGAGATTATTGGGGGCCAGCAGGTGGCATGGTCATTAGGTGTACTGGGCTCCCATGTAGCTGACTGCAGTTCAAGTCTCAGACCCTGGTGGCTTGCTTTCTCACTTTCTCTTTCTCTCTCACTCTGTCCCTCTTTGGTCAAACTGAAATAAATAAACAAATACAGTAAAATAAAAATAATTCTTTTAAAAAATTAATGTAAATGTAGTCACATATTTTAGGGGCACCTACTAGTGATAGGTAAACAGACTACCTCAGTTTATATTCTAGTGGAAGAAAGAAACCAATTAGCGTATACTGTTATACAATGTCAGGTATTATTTTTAGAATTATTTTATTTCATTTAATTTATTATCATTATCTTTTTTTAATTTGATATAGGGCACGTGCTCACCATGAAAAGAGAAACTGAGAAAGTAAGCCGCCAGGTCTAGGGTATGAACCATGGTTGGTCATGTGGGAGTCCAACTCCATAATCATACCACCACCTCCTGGCCCTCAGTGTCAGATAATTACATGTCCTATAGAATTAAAAGATAGAGTAGGGGAGAGCTGGTTCTATGGCTTAGCATTGATGTGATACATTGCTGCTTACAGGAACCTAAAGCCCATATAGCTGACCACAGTTCAAATCCTGACCATAGTGACTTGAAAAATGTGCCAGGCTCATGTGCATGCATGCCCTAAATTCTGAGAGGATGAGAATACAGAGAAGAGGTTGCTTTATGACAAGGCACCATTGTGCGGTACAGCACTTTGTCCCTCTCCTTTTCCCTCTGCCTGCCTCTCTGACAAGTTCACATGCCCCTGGCAAAAATAAAATAGCTTCACCCAGAAATGGTTGTCTAGGAACATTGCTGATGTGAGTCCTTAGGAACCAGACTAGCATCTTCCCGTGGGTTCCAGTATGTAGCAGATTGGTACCTGTGTCTCCAATACAAGGACTGGAGGGCAGGACACTGGTATTTCCCAATGGCTCTCAAGCATGTGTTGGATCAGAACAGATTCCTGGAATAGACATACAGAAGAGTTGGAGGAATCACACCACAAACAAGCTTCCTTCTGTTAAGGATTCTCCATAGCCTGTTTTTTGTTTTGTTTTGTTTTTTGAGAGATTTTTGCTATAGGGCGTGTGTGCTCACCAGAAAGACAGAGACAGACAGACAGAAAGCAAGAAATCCCCCAGGGGGGATGGCCATGCCACAATCCCTTCTCCTCCATTCTCCTTTCAGGATCTTGGGCATGCATACACACGTGCCCGGCGTGAGTTTAAGCCACCAAGTCCAGGACTCGAAACGCAGTTGACTACATGGGAGTCCAGCTACATAGCTATTATGCCAACTGCTGGTCCCATCCATAGCCTGTTGAGAAGGTTTGTACCCTCACAAAGATAAGAGAAGCCATGAGATTCACAGGACCTTTGAAATACAGTAAATGGAAGATTAAGGTTGTGGCCCTGTGCATGTATTCTAGCTGTCTGGAGAAAACTGACTTCGAGGAATTCTTCCTAAGTTGTCAGATGTCTGATACATTCAATTCATGGTTTCTTATAACCCTACTTCATGTCTAGTTTAGGCAGAGAGGAGGAAATCACAGCTAAGAAACCACATTGTTCCTTTCAACTCTGCAGATAATGTTGTCTTCCTACTTGTCTGTGGAGAGCGGCCAATCTGAGCAAACATGGTGACCTTTAGACACATGAACAACTGGCTTTGCATTCCATTTCCTCTTCCTCCATTTTCTACCCTTTAAAAGAATAAACCTGAGGCTGCTTCCTGGTCATGGCTTTCTCCATCAGAGAAGTCAGACCCACCCGATTCTTGCTTTTCTATACTTGTGTGTCTTTGTGTGTGTGTTTGAGATTTTGAGCATGCTCCCTTAAGGACTAGCCATGGGGCTGGTGCCTCTCCACCAAGGTGCGAATAATCCAAATTCTTCCTTTCGTTCTCCTAGCCTCAGAGGTATGTGCAGTAAAGTTAGGCCTAACTGCTGTCCTTTAAAAGACTTGCACCAGGCCACAGAGCTAGCCCTATGACCAATGTTTTAGTATTATAGAAATAAACCAAGCCAGCCCATGGCATGATGGTTAAGGCAGCTAGATCCCACATGGCCAGTTATGTGATTTAGTCCCGGATCTAGTGTATATAAAAACAATGCCAGGCACATGTACAAGTGTGCCTAAAATCCCAAAAGGAGAAATACATGAAGAAAATGTGGTGTGACCACCCCGCAGGGAGGGGTGCTTTCTTCTTCTTCTTCTTCTTCCTCCTCCTCTTCTTCTCCTTCTTCTTCTGCTCCTCCTTCTTCTTCTTTTTAAAGAATTATTTAATTAATTGTATGCATTCTTCCTCTTCAGTTTGACCAGAGAGAGAGAGAGAGAAAGTAAGCCGCTAGGTCCAAGACTCAAACTGTGATTGGCCATGTGGAAATCCAGCACCCCAATCACCAAGCTACCTGCCAACTCCCAGGAGGGTGCTTTCTCACTTTCTCTCTCTCTCTCCCCAGTGACATACCCTCTAGCAAATTAAAACAAAGAAATTAGGGGACAACAGGTGGTGTAGTGGGTAAGGCACTAGACTCCCATGTGGTTGACCATAGTTTGAGTCTTGGACCTGGTGACTTGAAACTCGCTGGACGCGTGTGCATGTATGCCCAAAATCTCAAGAGAAGACAGAGAGGGGATTGTGGTATGGCCATCCCCCCAACCAGGAGGCGATTTCTTACTTTCTCTCTGTCTCTCTCAGTTCTTTGGTGAGTGCAAGCAACCTATAACAAGATAAAAAAAAGAAAGAAAGAAAAAAGAAAAGGAGCCAGCAGGTGGAGTAGTAGTTAAGGTACTAAATTTCCACATGACCAGCCATGGTTCGAGCCCTGGACCTGGCAGCTTGAAAATGACACCGGGTGTGGGTATGTGTGTGTATGCATGCATGCCCAAATCCCAAAAGGAGAATGGAAGAGAAGGGATTGTGGCATGGTTATCGTCCCTGCGGGGTGATTTCTCACTTTCCTTCTCACTGTTTCTCTTTGACAAGCACACGTACTCTATGACAAAAACCTTCAAAACAAACCAAAAACGAAGGTAAAAAAATCAACTTCATGTCCTCAAGTGTATGAAAGCACTATCATATATTGAAACTGAACCAAGGTTCATTATCACTTTAACATTTATGCATGTCATTTCCTTTGCTCAGAAGTCAAATGGGTATCATATACTATCTGTTACAAAAATGCCTTTATTTACCTTTTTTAAAAAAATGTAATTGGAGGAGACAGCATGTGGCATGGTGGTTAACGTGCTGGACTCCCACGTGGCTGACTGTGGTTTGAGTCCTGGAGCAGGAGCCTTGCTTTCTCACACCACCCCTCCCTGTCTCTTTCTAGTCAAATTAAAATAATAATAATTAATAAAATTAAATAAAATAATTCCTTTTATTTTTGAGAGACATTTTTGCTATAAGGCCTGCTCACTGGAGAGACAGAGAGACAGAAAGTGAAAAAATCACCCCCCGGGGGGAATGGGCATGC